GGTTCGTCTAAAGTTAACTCTAAAAATACGTCAAAATCTTAGCCCTTAAATAGACATTCACTTGTTACACAATATGTTAATGTGAGATAATACAAGACTGAACGAAAGTAGCAACCTTCTTACAATCTCTTGGAAAATACAGCTTACCACAGTTTAATCTCTTATCATGGTAGTAGAAGGGAAATACTTTGCTGATTTCGGTATCTCTCAATTGTGTGAAAGTCAAGTTAATCGAGCGTATAACCAAATTGGATAGCATATGAAACAAGGTGATCGATCTCATCCTCATTGATAACTCCATCCAAATCTATATCTGTATAATGAATAGCGTAATCAGCCCTGTAACCAGGAACACGAGCTCCAAGTGCACGAAATGCCTCCTTTAACTCTTCCTTATCAAGGCAGCCGTCACCATTCTTGTCATGAGCCTTGAAAATTCTTCTCAGCTGATCTTCACTCAGACGACTCTTCTTCTTTGATTTCGCCATACATCTTAAAATGTTTCGTAACTTCCCCCATTGACTTGCCATGTTTTCGCAGCAATGCACCCCTGTCTTGTTAGTTTACAAGATCTAACAATGAGGAGAATGTGATGCCATAGGGCCACCTGAAAGCTCCTATATATGTCAGGGAATTTCCAGTCGTTAGCAAAGAATATATACCACAATTGTGGAAGATAATGTAAATGTAATATATGGTCCATAATCCGTTAAAGTTTGTAGTGACTGATCAAAATACGATCAATATCAGTGGTATCACTATGTGTCTGAGATACAGAACTTCCTTCTGTAAGCAATATTGTTTATCCGCTTGTATGGTTTATACAAGCAAACGATATACTTTAAAGCAGACGTGTATCAAAGCTTTTGAGTACATATTCGACATGCATCATCAAACGATCCTATCAATAAACTTTAACACTCCCTCTATCTCATGTAGTTTTACAAACTTGCCTTTGGCACAGAGGAAGGATAGATGATAGATAGAAGATTCCAAGAAAAAGTTCGGTGAGAGAAACAGTATGGTTAAGTAAAAGATTGGAAGGAGAAAAGGCGACTTCAAATTTGAATGTAACTGTGCAATTAACTTGGTGAAGGCGTAAGGCTGATCGAAGCTAATGAGCAAAGAAATATGGTACGGAGGGAATATTATGTTAATCTATAAGCTACGCCACATACTTCTTTGATACTCTCAGAATTTCCCAACAACTGTGCCATATCTAGAAGGCTGTCCTTCACATAACATGAATAATTGATGAGTACTTATTTTTTTAAGATTTTTGCATTTTTCTCAATTGAATTTCCAAACTTTATATTAGTATGTCATCTTTAGGCACTCTAAGATTAGTTTGATCAGTCATCTTAAGAGACTACTTAATCACTTCTTCTGTCAAACAGATACATATATACAAAGTATGTACTCTTTTAAAAATAAAAATAAAAATAAATGTTTTAAAAAAATGTTATATACAAGATAGAAATTCACCTTAAATTTGATTAACATGGTATAGTCTCCTCAGCAATGTAATCTCTAGACCTCTTGTGATATGATCACATGAATCACACGATTTTCCCCGTCAGAAACAAAAATTCTGCATACAAGTCAATTGTTTAATACATGCTGAAAAAGAATTAAGCAGAAACGTTTTTATGTCAATATACTGGGAAAAAACACAGTTTTTTAGGGGGGAAAAAAAACTACAGCTTCGAACCGCTGTGTTTCCCATGTATAACTGTATCTATGTCTTTCTATGTACAAACTAGTCTTCCTATCTAGAGAAGGATTAATACTGATTGCTGGTCCTGTTATGTATTTGCAGATATCTGAAAAACAGACAATTTGAAACAACAGGAAACGATGACCACTTTCCAAACAAAAAATAATAAACCATTGAAAAGTTTCAATGGTAAAAGTTCACATATCAAAAGCAACACTCAAATGGTAAAAATTTACATCAAATGTCACCTGGGTCTCACAATCTGTTACTGTGAGATTGTCTAATACAAGATTTTGCAGAACCTAGATAAAAGCCTTACTACAACCTCTTACACTGGAAAAATACAGCTTGCCACAATCTAATCTTTTATCATGGTAGTGAAAGAGGAAAAATTTGCTGATATTAGTACGTATTAATCTATATATAGGGTGTAATAGTAAAGCTAATTAAAACTGTAACCATAATGGGTAGCATAAGAAACAAGGTGGTCAATCTCATCCTCATTGATAGTTCCATCCAAATCTATATCTGAGTAATATATAGCACGACCAGCCCTGTAACAAGGTATACGAGCTCCTAGCGCACGAAATGCCTCCTTTAACTCTTCCTTATCAAGGTGGCCATCACCATTCTTGTCGTGAGCCATGAAAGTGTTCCTCAACTGCTCTTCACTTAGAGGATTCTTTCTTGATTTCACCACCCATTTTAGAGCTTTTTGGATTTTCCCCCATGCCATAGTTTTTGCTAAATGTCTTTAATTTACAAGAGCTAATTAGGAGGAGAATGTGATGCCAAAGGGCTATACAAAAAACTCTTATATATAGGGGAATTCCAGTAGTGAGCAAAGAATAAAAAAACATGATGGGGCAAGATAATGCAAATTATAGCTTAATAAAAAAAATGCAAATAAATATGGTCAATGATCCTTAGAATTGCGTAAAGTTGGACTTTTTTAATAAAATTTCTGAGTGGCAAATCAGACTACAATCAAATATCAGTGGTGTATAGCTTTAAGAGAATTTATTTAGTTCAGGAATCAAAGTTGTTTACCCACATGTTTCTTCTAATATATGATTTGGAATAGAAAATGATAGACCCTTTATGCAGATGTGATTCTAAAGTTTGCCCTGAGCAATACATACTGTATATTTTAGGCTACTTAATATTCTACACAAGCATCTTCAAACAATATGTTGTCTACTCGTCTAGTCGTCTATTGATTTATATTAATATTCCCTTGTTTCATTTTTCTTCTCGAACTTTAACAGAATGGAGACTGAAAAAGAAAAGTGCAGAGACAACCAAATCAAGTGTGCAATAAAATATGGTACAGTGGGATTATTTCTAAAGGACAGTTCTACCACATAAGTTTTGATGATCCAGAATGTTCCAACAGCTGTACATAATTCTAATAGACTGTGGATCACATAGCATGAAGAGTTGCAGACTACTTATTTACTAAGATAGTCCTCTACTGAATGTTCAAACTTTGACAGTCAGGCACTCTATGGAATTCTTTAAAAGATCTAATGAGATTAATTCAGAAGTTCTTGCTCTGTCAAACAGTTTAATTTGTTAAATAAAAACATTTTACCAGTTCAGATTGCACCGGATTCTCAGACTAATAGTTTATCTATCGTCCAATGAGACTATGAAAGATTTTAAGTTCAGTCAAACAGTTTTAGTTTCTTATAAAAACAGAAAGGAAAAAATAAAAATAAAAACTTTTGCAAGATAGGAATGCACCTTGAGATTAATTATGTTGAGATAATGTCCTTACTTCTCAGCTATGCAATTTCCAGAATTCTTCCATCAGAAACCAAAATTCTGCATACAAGTTACAAAGTGTCAACAGATGAATAGTGCTGAAAAATTCATCAGAATTCACCTTCTGAGAAACAAATAAAGAAAACATCTATTCTCGGTCCAAAGGAATCACAAATAAGAGTAATAACTTTACATCCAAGAACCTCACTACAGTATGGCAGTATGTATACCAGTCCTCTCCTAGAACTTTCAATTCCTCATTTATCATCATGATTATAGAATCAATTAAGTCCCTGTTAGATAATCGGCAGGACTGAGTTGCCAAGTATCAAGAAGAATATAATAACAGAAAGCCCACAAAGCCAAATCAGTAAATCTTGCACGGTGCCAACACAGGATATTGCCACTACTTTTATTCTGAAAGACTTTCAGGATCAACAATCCAAACATCTGGATAAAAAGACTAATTTAGAATGTTCAAAGATATACGGAACTCCCTATTTCGGAAGAAGATTCAGATAAGAGCTGGTTTAGTCAGCACGTGACATGTTGGTGACCTTGAGACTTGTGAATTCCTACAGAAAAACCTACACGCAGCACAGAGAAGTCGAAAAGATGATAAGTGTATTTATAGTATGGTTGAATTTTAACATGTGAATAATTGGGTCTCTTACCCTGTACATAGATATAAAAAAATAACATGAAGAAATTATAAGAAGCAAGGTTTTAAGCATCATCCTCATTGTCCACTCCATCCAAATAATTTCTGAATTAATTTTTTTGTAAAGAGATATCTGAATCAAGAATGGCGCTATGAGCTCTATAACTACAAAGAGAAGACCCTAGAGTGCAAAATGCCTTCTGCTTGTCCTTGTCGAGGTTATTGTCACGATAAACCAAAAGCCTCTTTAGCTTCTCTTGAATAACAGGAATCCTCTAAAAATACACAAAGTGGACTAGAGTTTTCCAAAAACTTCTCCAAGAGAAAAGAAATTAATATTTTGAACATGTCAGAAGTTCCGATGTCTTATCAAATTGTGTTATCCTGAACATCAATAAACTGATACAGCTGCTAAAGTCTCTTGATTTGTCAAATGACATAAAAAATGCTCAATATGATCCCTAACTGCCAAAAAGAAATGTACAAGGGTGTCTATCAAACATACAGTGGCAACCTTCTCCAGAATTTTTCTTGAAGTGGACAGTGTAATGTACTAAGATATTATTAAATGCACTTTAATAAAGAACAACAATGGAAAAAATTAATCTCAGGGGAAGTTTAACCTGAAAGTGCCTTGATAAAATTTAGCTCATCTTGTATGACAACAGAAAAAAGTAACCTGCTTTTTGGTGTAGTGCAGTGGCCATGAAGTTATGTTCGGAAAGAATCCAACAACATCAGTATCATACTGCTCAGGGGGGGGGTTTGTTGAAACATCTCTACCTAATCATGAGCTTGCAGACACTAACAAGTGATGCAAGACTATGCTGTTACAGTGAATAGAAGCAGCATACCTTCACAAAGCCTATGTATGGCCAGGACCAGGCTGCATTAATTGTATCTAATTTGTAAGTTTGAGTATTTCTCCATCAAATTGAAAAAGATCCCTGTTTGTAAGCTTTGATATACATCAAATTATCCAAAGAACACTGCAAAAGTTAAAACAGAGCAGCAGAGCCACGACACAGAATTGTTGCATGTTACCACAATGGGGGGTTTCTTCTTAATATTGCTGAGCTTCCAGGTAGATGACATCACAATTCAACGTTTTCAAGAAAACCCCAATTAAGTAGAGCTCCAAATTCAAATTCATTCCTTCTTGCGGCTATAGCTGAATCTCACAAAAACTACTTTACCAGTAATCACCACAAGAGCATTTACCATTTTTAAAATGATGAAATCTCTTGACATCTCTCACAACTATTACTCTCTGTACTATTTTCGAAATGTACTTGATTGCATTGTGGCAGTCCCCACATATCCTGAGGTTCTTAAATACCCTAACTGTGGCTCCTACAGGAAGCTTTAAGAGCCCATAAGCAACTGCAAGTTTTTCACTGTGAGTAGTCAAACTGTGCTCTTTCTGCTCTGTCTCCATATCATGCAACACATACTTAGTATCAGGAACATATCCCAGTTCCCTTAATTTCGGTCCCAATTGCTCAAGATAGTCGTACACTTCTTGTACGTCTGGGTGTGAAGTATCATCCACCAAGAATACATTAACCTTATTTTCGACATCTATCCAACTACAAGCAGGCTCTTTTTTCACACCTTGCTCTCTCATTAACATCCTCACCCTTGCCACATCAACCCACTGGCCAGCTGCAGCATACATATTTGATAACAGTATGTAGGTACCATCATGTTGTGGAATTAAGTCCAATAGTTTTTCAGCAGCTTTTATACCAAGGTCTAAGTTCCCATGAATCCGGCATCCAGCAAGAAGAGCTTCCCAGATAGGTGCTTTTGGCTCAAAAGGCATTTTATTGATCAGTTCCTCAGCTTCCTGGAACTTTCCTGAACGACAAAACAAGTCGATCATCCTCGCATAATGATCTTCTCCAGCAGAAATATGATATTTATGCATGGAATGAAAATAATGCCTCCCTTCATCGACCAACCCAGAGTGAGTACATGCAGTGATAATAGTAAGATATGTAATCCGATCAGGTAGTATCTTAGCTTTAAGCATCTGCTCAAAGAGTTCCAATGCTTGACGGCCATCTCCGTGCTGCCCAAAAGCTGCAATCATGGCATTCCAAGAAACAGAATCTATAGAAGGCATGGTGGAAAACATTAAGTCAGCATCCTCAACCACACCACATCTTCCATACATTGTTATCAGAGCATTTGCCACTGAAAGGCTCGACTCATATCCAAAGCGAATTACTTGACCATGAAGCTGCCTCCCTTGATCTAGTGCTCCAAGATTTGAACAGGCCGTCAATGCCCCAGCATATGTATAATCACACGGCTGAAATCCTTCCATCCTCATCTTATTAAGTAGCTTAATACTTTCTTCTCCTAATCCACTTTGTGCATATGCTGCTATCATCACAGCCCAGGTCAAAAGGTTCTTCTCTGGCATTTTGTTGAAGAATTCTTTCGCTTCTAAAATCTGGCCAGCAGTCACATAGCCTGACAATACTGCATTCCAGGAAACTATATCTCTTACATGCATCTCTTCAAAAATATGCCGAGCTTCACGAATTCTGCCACATTTAGAGTATAATGTGACCAATGCATTATTTATAGAAGATTGGACTTCAACTCTGTGTCTTACTCTATCTTCCTTCCGCAAAATGCGAGCATGTATCTCCTTTCCATGCCAAAACATACCAGAATCAGCACAGGCACCAAGAACATTTGTATATGTATATTCATCGTGCTGAATTTCTTCAGCATTCATCCTTCTAAAAAGGTCCAAAGCCTCTGGATACAAACTATGGTGCACATAACCCGAAATCATTGCATTCCACACAGCCACAACCTTAACACCGGTTGAATCAAAAACTTCTCGTGCTGAATCAAGGTCATCATTCCTTGCATACCCAGTAATCATTGTTGTCCATGTCAGCTCATCCTTCCCTTGCATCTCATCAAAGAGTTCCCGAGCCACACCCAACAATGAACTAGATGCAACAAAAGGCGAAGAAGCACACTTCACATACAGCGATATAAGTGCATTCAACACCGAGGTAGAGCACCCTGTTCCAGACTTCACCACGGCACAATGCAGCTGGTAACACTGCCTTGCATCATCTGCAATCAAACTTAAAGAACTAAGAACACTACTATAAGTAAAATGATCAGGCCTAACACCATCCCTCAACATGTCCCCAAACAATTGAATAGCAGAAACACCATCACTGTTATGATTATACCCTGTGATCACAGCATTATAACACACAACATCACGAATATGAAATGGGATTTCATCAAAAATCCTTCTTGCCTCCTTCATCTCCCCCAAATTGCAGTAAGCAGACACTATAGTGGTTCTCGCTACAATATCTGGTTGGGGAATTTTATCAAACACTTGGTGTGCATACCCTAGATTTTTGCATTTACAGTATACATCAATCAGGCGGTCGATAATATGGCCTCTTGGGTTGAACCCAGAAGTTATCATGTGGGCATGGATGGTCCGAGCAAGGGACTGCGAGGTGGGGCTTGGCGGGAAGCATCGTTGGAGCGCGGCGGCGTAGCGGTTGGCTAATGCCTTGACGTCTATTTTATCCGGGAAATTGGTGCGGGTGAAATTGATAGTGTGTTGAACTGCATTTCTCATTTCTGGGTTTGTCAAAAATCATGGTCTTTCTCTCTCTTCTTGCTTCTCTTCAATGGAGGTTTTGGAAGATGGAAAGAAGAGGGAAAAGGGAATAGCACCCATTGAGAAAAGTTGAGATTTTTTGGAGGGAAATATGAAAGTTAAAATATGGTTACCAATCTCTATTTGAGGATTAAATTGGAAAATAAAAAATTATTATTAGGGTTATTTTACTCTAGTGTGAAATTGTATAAAAGTTAAGTTTTTGGACTTAGAAACTTAGAAGCAAAAAAGTTGATCAATATATATACATATAATGCATTTGTGTTTCATTAATAAGTTACGGAGTACTTAATAATTTTAATGGCCAAAACATACTAACCTTTCAGTTCAATAAATTTGTTGAATATATACGATGAAAAACATGTCTCCAATGAGAATATGTAATATAAGTTGGTTCTGTTTAAAAAAAATGTCTCCAAAAAGAATATGTTTTCACTTTAAATTAAACTTCGATTGATCTTTTCGCTCAATGGAAGCTCAAATTTGGGTATTATAATCAACAATCACCATTTAGTTTCAAACTTACAAGTGCTAAATTTGTTGAATCCAAATATGGCATAATGATTCTGAAAATTTTACACTCTTTGATGAGCGCATTAAAAAAAGCGTTTTTTCTTATGATCAAGCACCAAACAACACTGACCATGTGAATAAACTTTGTCAAACGACAATAGAAGATCGCTTTATATGATCGATGTGGAGAAACGTCTTAATAAGTTCAAGTTAGTCTCTTTCCTCCACTGCCTTTGGGAGGCAAATGCAACAACATATTTCACAAAAATTAAGATGTATCACCATTTACATGTTTTTTTTTAATTTTTTTGGTTTATTAACTCTTGTAACGATTAGCTCTCCTATATCATTTGTAATAGTTTTCATTTCCTCTTTAAAAAAAAATAATAAAAATTGAAAGAAACTACTTCTATTTTTTTTTTTGAGAGTTTGGACAGTGATAATTAATAAAACGTTTATTTTATTATATGTTCCCTAATTGGTAAGTTGCTACTAGGACTTGACAAGCAAATTTTTGAAAGGTGAAAGAGAAAGAGGCGTGGACATTAGCTCAACTAGGATAATTTCTTTAGTCCCTTCACCATTAATAACCACAATCACTTGATTGTCAATCCCTTATTAAATAACAACGAACTCATCAACGATTTTGGCAATGCTAAGGTAACTCTTATTGTCAATCCCTTTTTTTTTTTTTTTTTTTTTTTGTGAAAAAATTACAGTAATTTAAATAAGCTCTAAGAACAAAACACAAAAGAAGAAAAAAGACAAACAAAAAAGCAAAAACTAAAACCAAGACACCCAGTCCATCACAACCAACTAAATCCTACCCTTGATCACAATATGAGCCCAAGTCAATCGCTTGATTCCTTCAATAAAATGGCATGAAGGTCTTTCGGGATTGTCCTTATGAACACTAACTTACTTTGGGCTGAATTCATTATATGGTTTGTTAACCAATCCACAACTCAATTAGCTTTCCTATAACAAACTCAAGTTCGATGATATATGTCATCTAAAAATCTGTCAATGCAAAGTTTGTTATTTCAAATAGACTATAAGTGTCTCACTCATCCCTTTTACAATCTTAAATAATATTACTAAGGAAAAGAATCCATCAATATAAATATGAATTGGTGCATGACGCCAAACTGTTAGCCAGCTAGAACTAATTAGTCCACTTTTGAACTCTTCAACCCACCACAAACTAACAACCCAACCAACCAACTAATTATTATCATTAAAAGTCTATATTTCACATTAACTCAATTTATCAATCACTTATTTTTAAACCCACCAAAATCCAATAAAATACAATACTGCTGAATATATTTATTTACTCCCTCCGTTTCATAATGTTAGTCCCATATACTATTTTGGGCGTTTTAAAATGATCTACCCATATTGAATCTATTCCTTTTTTTAATTTAATTTTATTTTCCTAATTTTGTCTTATAATTTCTAATCCCATTAGTGAATTGATGACATGGCGGTAATTAAATATTTTGACTGGTTATCAATCCCATTAAACAAGCATTGTAATTGATGCTTTCCAAATAAAAAAAATCACAACATTTAATAAGATACAACTAATTAAGCAATTTTTGTATGGAGTACTAAAATGTAAGATTCCAAATATTATTCATTCTCTTATTTTTGGCAATTGATTCTATATGGGACTAATGGAGGGAGTATTATTTATTTCAGAAATTTAAATATCTTAACAAATTCAGATAAATTCCAAAATCCAAAAGTTATTTTTTTTTTACTGAAAATTTTAAAAAAATAAAGCTTTTTTTTTTAATAATTAATTTGTTTTCTATTTTTCTGGAAATTGTCAAATTTATCATTTTTTCTCTCCTCCATTGTTACTCTTCCTCCCCCACCACCATTTCCATCTCCATCACCATCATCATTTCTCCACCAGAAATTCACAGACTAAGAAAAAGACACACCCAAAAAGAGAGAGAAAAAGAAAAAAAAAATACCCTAAAAAACAAAAAGAAAAATAAAAAGAAAAAGGGTAGCTTTAATTTTCTCTCTCCTCAAATTTCAAACCTTTCATTTCAGATCTAGTGCTGAAATCATCTTCCCATCATTTTTATGAGCAAAACCCAGAAATTTATTTCCCCATTTTACCCCCTTTTCTCTCTCCTATTTATGATTCCTTAGTTGCGAATCAAAATTTTTTTGGGGTTTTTTTGAAACCCTAGAAAAATCAAACTCGAACTCAAACCCAAACCCTAGTTTCCGACAATGGCGACTAGAGGGTCGAGATTGGAGAAAGTTAAGCGGATTTTCCAGCAATTTGATTTGAATAAAGATGATGGGCTTAATAGAGCTGAAATGGCGGCTTTAGTTGTTGCTGTAAATCCTAGGGTTAAGTTTTCCGACGAACAAATTAACGCAATTCTCGACGAAGTTTTTCGGACTTATAAAGAATTTATTGATGAAGATAAGGGTTTAACTTTTGATGGGTTGTTAAGAACTTATGATGATGGTGCTGGAGATGTTGATCGTGATTTTGAAGCATTGAATCTTGATTTGGTTGCTGGAGAAGGTGAGGATTCGATTGCAGAAGCTTCGACATCGTCGGTGGCGGATGATCGAGCAATGGAGCCTCAGAAGAAGCAGAGGACTGCAGCTTGGGCGGCGTCGCCGAATCATGGGATTGTTTTTGATGAGACGTGGAAATTGGTGGATGACTTGGAGATACTTGTAAAGCGGTTGAATACTAAGCAAACGAAAGATGGGAAAATGAAGAATGATAATTCGGATATGTATTCGGATGCTGGGTGGTCTAGGGAGTTTGGGCCGTCGTCTTCCGAGGTTTCGGAGAGGGTCAATTGGGTGGAATCAGGGCATGATTATGCTGCATTTGTGAAGGAATTAGGTGGGTTAAGGGCTAAGGCAGACGGGGCGAGGTCGAGGGAGGAGGCATTTGATGGGCACATGGCAATTGGCAGGGTATTGTATGAACATCAGTTGTTTAAGGATGGTTTAGTGAGTTTTAAGAGAGCTTGTGAGCTGCAACCAGTTGATGTTAGGCCACATTTTCGAGCCGGGAATTGTTCGTATGCATTGGGGAAGTTTGGGGAGGCGAAGGAAGAGTTTCAATTGGCATTGGAAGCAGCTGAAACTGGTGGGAATCAATGGGCTTATTTGCTCCCTCAAATTCATGTCAATTTGGGAATCACCCTTGAGGCGGAAGGTATGGTTTTAAGTGCTTGTGAACATTATAGAGAAGCTGCTATATTGTATCCTACTCATTATAGGGCTTTAAAGCTTTTGGGTAGTGCTTTATTTGGGGTAGGGGAGTATAGGGCAGCTGTGAAAGCATTGGAAGAGGCTATATTTATGAAACCTGATTATGCTGATGCACATTGTGATTTGGCTTCGGCCTTGCACGCCTTAGGGGATGATGAGAGAGCTATTGTAGAGTTTCAGAAGGCGATTGACTTGACCCCGGGTCATGTAGATGCCTTGTATAACTTGGGAGGGCTTTATATGGATATGGGGAGGTATCAGAGAGCTTCTGAGATGTATACTAGGGTTTTGACATTGTGGCCAAACCATTGGCGGGCACAGCTCAATAAGGCAGTTTCCTTGTTGGGTGCTGGTGAATCCGATGAGGCTAAGAAAGCAATGAAGGAAGCCTTGAAGATGACAAACAGGGTTGAGGTGCATGATGCGATTGCTCATATGAAGCAATTGCATAAGAAGAAGGTGAAGGCTAATGGAGGTTCCAATGGAGAGAATTCTTTCACCATTGTTGAACCCTTGAAATTTAAGACTCTCGGTAGCAAGACTACCTCTAGACAGGAGTTGGCAATTGCCCTTGAGATCAGGGCTTTTCAGAGATTGTCGAGATTGAATAGGTGTGATGTAGATCTTTTGATGAGGGAAATTAGTGATAGTGATGTGCCCTTGTCATTCTCTGGTACCGGTATTCCAGAGAAATCCATTCGCAAGAATGCCCTGGAGGGAATTCTCCGCAGGCTGCTTGGTTTCTTGAAACCTGAGACATTTCAAGAAGCAATCAAAGCCATTAATGAGAGAATTCTTTCTGTGTTAGATGATTCTGGACTGTCTAGAGTGGATATTGGTATGTTTTATGCAATAATCGCTCCCATTTGTGGTGGTTCATTGGAAAAACGGAAACGTGTTGCATTCGAAGCTCTTCTGTATCGGCCTGTCAATGAGGGTAATGGGCAGCTCAGAAAATCTGATGCTACCAGATATATGAAGACGTTGAGAGCCATCTACTTTCCTGTACAAGGGTCTAGTGAGATTTTAGAAATTCATGGCGATTCAGATGCTTCTATGGTGTCTATGACAGAGTTTATTGCAATGTTTGATGACCCTGAATTTGGTTTTGGTATCTTATCCACTCTGATGAAACTGGAGAGTGGTGATCGGGTACGACATGGCCATTATGTCTGTGCAGTTTGTCGCTACCCTATTATTGGTTCCCGGTTTAAGGAGGTGAAAGCTCACTTTAGCTTGTGTAATCAATGCTATAGTGAATGTAAAGTGCCTTCTTCAGTTAAGCAGGAGGAGTTTTCATTCAAGGAATACCAAAGGGAGGCAGAAGCAGCGAAAGATAAGTTCAAATGTTTCGGTTCGAAGAAGAACTAGCCCTGAAATAATTCTGTAGTTAGTTGCATTTTGTTAATTGTGTATTAGTATTAATTTTTTTTCTTGTAAGGCTAG